AGCAATATACAGTTAATCTTCTCCCAGCGAATATGGGTACTACTAGCGCAAACTGCGATGAATTACAGCCTCCCCAGCTCAAGCGCGCTCGGAAAGGCACGGCTGGTACCCGCGTCACTCCTTTCCATAAGAAGCACTTAATAGAGTTCGGGCTGTCAGTCTCGGCAAGGGATGCAGAAACCGCAGATGTTGTGGCCGTGCGTTGTCGATTTTGCACTGTATTTGGACGTGAAGTGAGCTCGAAACAGACATCAAGCAGCTGGACCTTTGAAGGCCCTCCATTTCGTCCTGAGAATTACCGGCAGCATCATATCAAAAATCATCCGACTAAGTGGCAAGAGTACTGCTCGCTGCCAAAGGCAGAAATGGAGACGGTTTTCGACGTTCCAGATAATCAGAGGCACGCAAACAAAATGGATGCCTACTTAGAGCCAGTTTCTGCTTCTTTGCAGTTTACAGTGGACCGTGACATCATTGAAGTCATCATCGGTAGCGTATAACATCTAATGATAACGATGACCAGGACGACCTATCTGACGATCAACGAATTCTTTCCTCCCCACTATGCACATCTTTGTTCTCGCTGGACACAAGCCAGAATCGGTACGTGGCTACTGTTAACCAGGTCAAATAATTCGAGTTAGCAGTACGTTTTGTTAGCCACGGGATGTCTTTTAGAATGGCTTCTCCTGCCGTTCAAGACGCCAAGTCTGTTCTATCGGCTCCAAAGTTGGGTTTCTGTAGTGAGTTGAGTGTTGCCAAGTATGTCAAGCTTCTCTGCGCGGTATCCTTTCAAAGAATTAAGGATGCTCTGGCTTCTGCTTGGGCTTACGCTGTTGCCTTCGATGGCTCTACCGATATACATGGAGCGTCCTACATTGACGTTAGGGTCCGATTCTTTCAGGAGACATCCCTTCGCAACTTACACGTCATTGCTGTTCCATTTGAAGGCAGTCACACTGGAAATGCAATGCTTGAAATGTTTAAACAGCTCTTTAGATCATTTTGCCCAGAATGGAAATTGAAGCTGATTGATTGCTCTACAGACGGTGCTGCCAATATGACAGGCCATGTATCCGGAGTGGTTTCTCGATTTCAAAAAGAGATTAAGGAGAAAGGCTTTATCCGAGTGTGGTGCCTGCTCCACCAAATTGATATTGTGCTCCAGAAGTCTTACCAATATCTGGAAAACGACAAGTTTTACAAGGACTTGACCGGACTGATTTATCATCTGAGGAAACAAAAGCGTTTCAATGATCACATCCAAGCTGTGTGTTCGTTACTATCAGCCACATGATGGGTTTCGATGAGTCGTGTTAGCATATTCTTAATCGAACATCGCAATGATGTTCTGGACCATTTTAATAGGTTTGAAGATGAAGGTAGCGATATGGTTTGCTATATGCCAAGTCCTCAATGGTGGATTCTGCTTGCGGCAGTGTGTGAGG